CAGTGCGGTACTTCTGAGATTTCAGCTTGAGCGGCATCCTTTTATCGCATAGCACTCCTGTGAGACTTCTCCATTTCAGCTATGCTGCGTTTATACGACTGGTTATTTCGTCTTCGAGCGTGCCGTCTGCCGCGATGCGACTTCCTAGGTATTTGAAGGACGTGGTCTTCTTGATCTGCGTGCCTGCAATCTGGATCGTCTCTGACGTTTGAAGTCCCAGCTTCATGTATTCTGTCTTGGCGGTGTTGATCTTCAGACCGTGTAGTTCAAGCTGTTCTTTCCATATTGCTACGTCTGTCTCCAATTCCTTCCTGCTTCTTGCCATCAGGAGCACATCATCTGCATACATGGCGGTCCAAGGAGGTGGATTTACGAAGCTTCTGACTATCGTGTCCATCACTGTGATAAAGAGTAGAGGGGAGAGAACGGATCCTTGATGTACACCGACATCTATGTGGTAGTCTTCTGTACGTCCTGCTGCTGTTCTTAAGTAGCTGGTGGCATCCTTGTATATCATTCTGATCCACCGAACATATTCTTCTGGTACCTCGTGCTTCCGCAGTGCCCACCTAACGTAGTGCGGTACTCTGTCGAATGCCTTCTCAAGATCCAGGAATACCGCGTGGAGCTCACATTGCTTTTCTCTGCTTCTCTCCATCATCATTCTGACGGTGTGAATGGCATCTGTCGTACTGCATCCTTTCACGAATCCGCACTGGTTGGAGCTCAGTATCACGATACTTCGAAGTCGCATCTCTAGTATTCTTTCGAAGATCTTCAGCGTGTGGCACATGAGACGGATAGGTCGGTAGGTGGAGCAGTCAGCTACGTCGCCTTTATTCTTCCATATCGGTACCGTCGTACTTCTGCGCCAATCATCGGGGATATTCTTCGACTCGACTATCTGATTCAGAAGACGCGTTAGCCACGAAACTCCAGCCTCTCCACACTGCTTCCAGATCTCGCTGGGGATGTCATCGGGGCCTGTCGCCTTGCCGCTCTTTGTCTTCATTAAGCAGGAAATCTACTCGACTGTATATCAAATCAGAAAGGGTCATGGAAAACGCAAAATTTATGAAGCTTTTTATAATGTAAAAGAAACTCCAGAAGTGAGTGTAAGCAATGATCTTACCACCAGCATTCCAAGAATAGTCATGCTATCTACAGCAGATGTGTATGGAAACACTATTTTCAGCTATAACTAGACATAGCTTAGCACTAACATAGTCAAACTTAGAGAAAGTATTTGGAGGTATTTTACAGGTTGAGTCACCTATCAAAGCATGATCAAGGTGGCTGCAGCACATATGTCAGAAGCGGAAAGAAATCTAAAGGGGCTCCCTTTGAATAAGCGTCGGAATCCCGAGGACAGACAATCGTAGGTAACTTAAAAAAGAGAGTTCAATAGAGATTATAGCAAGGAGTCACAGTTGTTCGAAATTCTGTCCACTCTTCCGCAAGAAAAAATTCGTAAAAAAACGTATTTGCCTCCTTCTTTCTTATGGCTTTATCACGGTGGATTTTCGTTATGGCAAGTTCAAAACATTAATATCATTGGTTTTGGCGAAGAGCTACGTTTCTGTATTAAATAAAACGTGAGGAATTACAGTAGCCAAGGATTGTGTGAAAAAGGCAACTTACTTACTAAGGACCTGAAATGAACAATACAGGGTGTCCGTAAAGTATGTATACACTGTTTGATCGTTAGCATCTTTCTTCCCTACAAGTCTTTTGCCTTGCTTCAGGCACCGTTTTGTAGAGCTGGCTTCAACTTAGATTTACAGTATGGAGCGAATCACCCATCTCTTTTCGTTACTATGGGATTACAGTAGAAATCTGAAACATATGGTGTAAATGTGGAAAAAGTTGCCGTCAAAATTTTTCAAAAAAATGTGAAAACTCGTATAGTAGGCTTTTTACGGACGCTGAGTTCAATACTCAACTATTCAAAAGATTGCGAAGCTTTCTAAACGGTGTAACCGCACTTTTTTTGGAGCATTGAAAGAATAGCCGCTACTTCTTACCCGGCATAACTCTTCAATGAAGCATCATAATAAGTTGGGAACTTTACAATTAGAATCAACAACTCTGATTGGCCTAGTGCAAAAGCTTTCAAGCTGTTTCGTTTTCTTTCTGAGGCAAAATATGGCCTTTCATGGCTCAAAACCCTCTTTGAAGTTTCTACCGTAATTCTATAGTAACGAAAAGAGATGTGTGATTCGTCCCATATTGCAAATCTAAGTTGAAGCCAGCTCTACAAAACGGTGCCTGAAGCAAGGCAAAAGACTTATTGGGAAGAAAGATTTTAACGATCAAACAGTGTATACATACTTTACGGACACCCTGTATACATCGTAGAAAGAAATTCAAAGGTTCAGTCTCCCCGTTGCGCTGACCCTAGTCTACGCTGAGCTGTGCACTTTGAGAACATATTTGCTTGTGCGAAAGTAAGCTTATAGATTGAATCGCATATAGACTAGTAATAACCTGTTTCATTTGTCCTACACCCATTCTTCTGCTTGCTCCTACAGAGTTCCCTCTATCGGGCAGTTATAGTGAAAGCGATTTTTGCCTTAGAAAGAAAAGCAAATAGGCCAGAAATCCTTCTACTAGACTAGTCAAAGTCGCTGATGCTAACTATGAAATTTGCACTTCAGTAATGCTTCTTTCATAAGTTATTTCAGGTTTAAGGTGGCTCTGTTTTTCCAATGTTCGTCGGAAGTGTGATTACATCATTAAAAAAACCCAAAAAGGTGAATTGTGTGCTGGAATCAGTACTCCTGAAAAGCTTACTACTCAGATTTCTAGATTTTTTTGGGATATTTTCCATTAAAGGGCTTATTCATAGCAGCGCTTTATGCTAACATTCATAGCGTAATCCTGGAGTAATAAAGAGTGATTGATGATTCGGTGCATACTGTAAATCTCGCTTTACAGAATCATACCTCAAGCTCGGCGAAAGACGAAATTAAGAGAGTTATTACCGATCAAACAGTGTCCACTTTTTTGGAACACATATAAAGAAAAATCAAGAATTGGCACGGAACCTATGAATAGAGAAACGAGAGAAACAACAACTTAGACAGTCGACGGCATACCTCCGGAGCAGTAATGACAGAGCCGCGGGGTTTTCCCAGCGAGGGATTGCCGCTCGTGCTCCAGAGCTTTCCCATTTTGTGCTCCGGAGCCCTTCAATTCTGTGTCCTGGAGACCTCCCGTTTTGCCGGAGACCTCCCATTTGTGCTCTGGAGGTGTCTCAAATCTGGCGTACCTCCGGAGCGCAAATCTCTGCTCCGGGGCTCTACCAATCTGGCGTCGGAGCAGAGATTCTCCGGAGCAGAGATTTGCGTGTCCCGGAGGAGGGGTCCCATTCGCCTGCTTATGACGTCACCGTGACCTACAAGAAGGGACCGCCCCCTCGCCCCGCTCTCAATGGTCAATTGGATCCTCCGGATCCTCCACGGCTCTGTCAGATTTCGACTGTCCTCCGGAGCTACAGCACCGACTGTCTGAGAAGGCGCACTTTATGTATTCTCAACGCTAGTCAGTCATACAGATCGACAGGTTGTACAATGGAACTGTAGCCTTTTAGATCAATAGTGCCACAAATAACACGATGGGCTTATGCACGAGTGAGCCGCAACATCAGTTCGGTTGAAGCCGCAAAGTTGAGTTTCTTCTCTTCAGTGGTTCGACCCCAAATTTCGCTCGGACATTCCAGATCGCATGTTTCACCGACTTAGCAGAACAGCTGGTGAAATGGAAATGGTTTACCCAGCATAACAAACTATGGAAGAAGGTGATGCGCAAGTACGATATAGAGTAACAAGGGAAAAGGGGTAGCGAAACAGAGATGAGATCTAGAAGATATGACGAAGAACGATTTGTATAGAATGATGAATGGTTATGAAACTAGACTTAAAACCGACACAGTTTCGTACGGTGTGGTCATGGTCTAATCAAGGGCCGCATGCACTAATCTCCCCGCTGGGGAGGGGATCGCAGCTTTAAAGAAAATTTTATATTTCGAAACTCCAGGTACCTGGATTTCACGTTGTGTACCTATCCGTAAGTATTCCTACTACTCTTCACTATGAACATGTTAAACAGGAGCGAGAAGCTATACGAGCCGCATTTTCCAGCTTTTGTATGATCCCTGATGATCTCCGGCGCTTTTCTTTGAAGTCATTTTTCTTTCTCCGGTTAATGAAAACCTTCCAAAGTTGAACTGAACATCTAATACAGTGCTAAGCATGTTGCTGATGAGAACAAATGAGTTTTTGAAAAGTCGAATTTTTCGGTAAACCTCAAATTTCGACCTGTGGATCATCGAAAATTTCATGACTTCAAAACATCATTTGTTCTTATCAGCAACATGCTTAGCACGGTCAAGTTAGATAATCTGCACGACTTTGGAGGTTTTTCGTTGACTTCGGGGAAAGAAAAATTACTTCAAAGAAAAGCGCCGGGGATCATCAGGGATCATACAAAAGCTGGAAAATGCGGTTTGTGCAGCTTCTCGCTCCTGTTCAACATGTTCATAGTGAAGGACAGGAGGAACACTTACGGAGAGGTATGCAACGTGAATTCCAGGTATCTGGAGTTTCGAAATATAAAGCTTTCTTTTAAGCTGCGATCCCCTCCCCGCGGGGATGTTAGTGCATGCGGCCCCAAGACTAATATGCGTGAGAAAACCTAAGACGGGAGCCTGTATATTACTATCTTTGCAAATGCTCAACATAATGTGGGATTGGATGATGTGAATTTGTTTCAGAGAACTTCTATGCGACTTTGTTACCACTCGTTTCGTTCTGTAGAGTTCTCATGTTCGAAAGATGTTGAACAAGGCACGATGCGGGTAACGCTACGAAATACACGCTAGAAACCAAGGAGAGTAAAGAAGTTACTTACGCAATGAGGGGAACTTAGCTTTTAGCTCTTCGTATCTTTTGATCACGCAGATGACAGTCCTGAAACACAATTTTACATCAACAAATAATCTAATGATAATTCAGATTTTGTATGACAGACATTTCATCGAGGGGGAGAACACCGCTCCAAAGATAATCAATCAAAGTCTGCTGGAAAAATTAATCCAACCCGTGAAATGCATCCTCACAATGAGTAGTATATCTTTACCTTTAACCAGGACTTGTCATGGGATAGATGTTTACGTCTTCTGCACATCAAAACTAAATATGTTAATGTGCAGTAATTATCCTGCAAAACAGACACTTTTAGATGTTTTATTTGCATAGAAATGCAGACTAAGGCTCCCGCCAGAGTGCCGAAGTTATGCCAGCGCTACGCCAGCACTTCGATCGATACACGTGTATTTCGTTGGGGCGGGGCTAGCCGACGTCCCCAACGAAATACACGTGTATCGATCGAAATGCTGGCGTAGCGCTGGCATAACTTCGACACTTTGGCGGGAGCCTAAGTAACGGCGACAGTTCCGCATAGTGCAATCACATCACCACGCATCAGTAGCGTAACCAGGCTTATCGTTCGAGGAAATGGGGGGGGGGGGGAGTGGTGCGAAAAGAGTTTTTTTAAAAAAAAATTTTCTGAGAGAATTTTTGTGGGACCATAATCAAATGAAAAACTTTTTGTACAGCTCTGACGATTTTACAAGTATAAACAGATTAATGGCACATTTTTAGCTATCCGTAACTTTGTGACTGGCTCGCACGCGTATCGTTGCAATTACATGCAAGCTGTCGCCGTTGCACAGCTTGCCGTTGAAAGCTTACAATGTCGCTTGGTGGATTTTTGATGTAAATGAGCGATACGTCTATCTCCCACTTAGAGCAACGGTCGTCAAACCAGGAAGTTACTCTAATTTTTGAGACTTCGAACTTGTAAACTGCTTGTAATCTTATACCGTCTTCTGTCTGCTAAAAAGTATCGTTAGTTTCTGTGCTTGTTCAAGTTTTTATGGCTCCGTGACGTTTTGGCTACACGATGTCTTCAGAGGACCAAAAAGGATCAGCCATCTTGATATCTTTCCATGCTAGCAAACACCTCTTCCAACCGTGTACTCGATTCGACTAATGTGGAATTAGCAAGAATGGGCGCAGCATTCTATCCAGCGAGGTATCATCGTGAACAGAGGGCAGTTGAATAGCTAATTCGGTGAATATAGTGCTCTTGCGTTGCCGTTTTGAGGTAAGATTTATGCGTAGTTTCTACGACTGAAATGCCAGCCATTTGCTCATGAAAATTGCCAGCACTTAAGGCGTATTGGAGTCCGAAATTGTGGCGAGTCAAATTCGTGGTGGTCAACAAAGATCCAGGATTCAGGTATTCCTGAGTACAAGAACCGCAACACAAGAGGCGCTGGCGCGATTTTACCTTGCTCTGTTGGGACGCAGCTAAGCTCCGCCTGCTGCTCTCCGGTGAGCTGCAGGCGGAGCTTACATTAGCTGCCTCCCGGCACTCCAACCACGGAGGCGCTCGTAGCTATTTGACGTCGCAATCTTACCGCAAAATCGTAAATGTACTATATATATCAACATATCTAATGAGATGACTCGTAAAGATCAAAATTTCGCATAACGCAAGATGCGGTGATTGACCACTTAGCGATAATTTTTGCTCCTTGAACTTGGTTGCCTCAAGGACAACTGAACGTTTTTGAAGCGCAGAAACTTGATTGTCAAAGGCCAAAATCAGCTGATGTCAAAGTCATCACCGCTATTATGTACTACATATTTACCGAGATTCTTGCTTACCAAATGCTCGTTTACTTTGACGCTTATGGTCAACAGGTCCCGATATAAAGGTAGAGCAGCTCATTCATTCAATTTCGCAGACAACGCCAAATTTTGCGCAGTCTCCGGGTTTTTGCAATAGTATACAGGGTGTCCGTAAAATATGTATACACTGTTTGATCGTCAATATGTTTCTTCCCAACAAGTCTTTGCCTTGCTTCAGGTACTGTTCTGTAGAGCTGGGTTCAACTTAGATTTACAGAATGAAGCGAATCACCTATCGCTCTTCATTACTGTCCTATCGCTCTTCATTACTGTAGTATTAGGTAGAAACTTGAAACATATGGTGTCAATATGGAAAGAGCTGCCGTCTCAAAAATTTTCAAAAAAATATGAAAACTTGTGGGATAGGGTTTTTATGGACGCTGTGTTCAACAGTCAACGATTGCGAAGCTTTCTCAGCGGTGTAACTGCACTTTTTAGGAACACTGAAAAAATGGCCGCTATCTCTTACCCGGCATAACTCTTCAAAAAAGCATCATAATAAGTTGGGAACTTTACGGTTAGAATCAGCAACTCTAATTAGCCTAGCGTAAAGGCTTTCAAGCTGTTTGGTTTCCTTTCCGGGGGACTGGCCTTTCTTAGCTCAAAACCCTCTTTAAAGTTTCTATCGTAATCCTACAGTAATGAAGAGAGATGGATGATTCGTTCTATATTGCAAATCTAAGTTGAAGCCAGCTCTACAAAATAATACCTGAAGCAAGGCAAAAGACTTGTTGGGAAGAAGGATATTAACGATCAAACATATACATACTTTACGGACACCCTGTATATCACACACTAGCGCGTTACCTCTGGTTATCATGCTCACACAGGCGATTTTTTGAAACTTACCGAGTACGCTGACAATCATGAGTGAAATTCAAACAGCTGCTAATCATTTTAACACTTTTGCCGAGTGAAATTAGTAGCTTTGGAGGCGAAAAAGCGCAGGATCAGACTCACTTCGCATCCAGAAGAAATATTAAAGCTTATGAGATCTCGTTAGATTTTCTTCTCTTCGTTCCTAGCTACATTTTTAAGAGAAGGAAAATTCCAATGGCCTTTGTAGCTGTATTTCGCGCGTTTGAAAATAGTTTGTCCAGTACTTATTCTTATTTGTGACACAATTCATCACGTGCTAGTACGATTATGTCAGCTTTCGCTATGTTTTGGCCAAAGCGAAGGAGGAGGGGTAAAGGAGTGCTGCGGGAAAAAGGCAGCGGTATTTTGGTGGAAGGTAGAAATAAAACACTTCGTAGGCAACTATCGCACTACCGGGGTGGTTTGCAGTCTGGTTCGATTGCCTTGCATGATCTGAATAAACCTAGCTGGCAAAATCCTACAGTGTTATCCTCAAAGTTTGGACTCAATCTCAATCTGACACTTTTGCATTAATATCCACAGTCCCAAGCTGAAACCAGAATAAATGTTCTAAACATTTGTTAACAAATGACTAGAAAATCTCCTCGTGTTTGATTTTCTTAAATTCGTCTGCATGCACTGAACATCTTGCCAGATTGATGTTAACGTTAGCAACAAAGAGCACTTAAATCCCATGAAACAATCGCCCCCCCCCCCCCCTCCGCCCACCAAATAGAAGAAAAGCGAACGTGAAGTTGACTGCGAGAGTGTTCACTAACCCAAATGTCGCGCTTAGTGAAAAGATGTGTCATGAAATGGACTCACGCCTGGTGGCAGTTCAGAAATCAAATCCCACTCTTGTGACGCATAGGACGAGATTGCATAGCAAAAGATTGAAATTGTCCGCCAAAACATGACTGTTCAATGTGACTAATCACACAAAAGTGAAACTTTCCTATTCTAGACTACAACCAGGAGTCAGCGGCCGTGATAGATGTTAGTTCAATTCCATTAATAATGTCCATTCAAGTGTGGATCCTCTAGCGGTGCGGCCGATAGCACATGACATTCGCAGATTCATCCTTTTCGCATTGCATATTCAACTATATCTGACTAGTGATCCTATCGGCCTACAAGACGAGGGACGAGTGGGTTGGGACAGATACATTGATAACTGTCTGCCTGCAACTGAGAACAGCAAGGAACTGAGTTTCCATTTTCTCAGCGATCTTTGACGCAATGTTACGTCGTATTAGAAGCAAGATCATGCTCTCAAGGAAACTTTTGACAATTGATTTCCAAATCATCTACCGTTGTTCTAACAAATATCCTACACCAGTGGCCGTATATCAACGTTACCCGGGGTTAGTCTCAACCCACGAAACCGGTATTCACGAAGCTGCTGGGTAAGCGAACCCAGTGGATTAAGTCTACCGCTAGGTAAGCAAACACACAGAATGCCGTCATACCGGTATTCACGAACGCCTTCAATGGGCTAGCCTACCCAAAACCGGTATTCACGAAACAGCTTCCCAGAACTTGTGGGTTCCGGTCCCACTTGTCGTGGGTTCACCTTACCCAAGCACACAACGAGAATCGCAATGGGTAACAAGGGAATGTGATCATTTTTTAAGTTGGAATTTTTTAGGAAGGTGCAATGGGTAGCAGTAGTACGTCATTTTGAAAAACCACTAAATCCTATCTATGCATCAAAGCCTTTTTTGTATTATTGAAGAAAAGTTTTTGCAGCAAAGGGCCAATTTACTTCTCCAAAAAAGAAACGGAAATACCAGCATACATTTTCCAAAAATTCAAGATTTTATTCCAAAAATTCAAGAGGGCTCCAAACAGACGTTGCGGAAAAATAGATGTTGAGCGAGAATGAGAATTTATGATTTCGAGACGTTCGGGGCATTCTTAGATAGCGCATTTACAAGTTCAAGCGTTTCATACAGCGAAAGTGATTTACAACAAAAGAAAGAGTGGAGCACTCAAAACGTACCAACAGTTTCGTGACTGCGAGTAAATATGTCTGATACCTATTAACTTGCATAGTAACAATGCAAACTTACGCTCTGAGTTGTATAACTCAAGCGGAGATGCCCGTGATTACGTGCGAGATGTTGTACATACATAGTTGCGAAATATACAAAAATGTAAGGAATGCGCACGGTAAGGACGCCAAAGCGTGGTTTTAATAGACGTCGAAATTCACGCAGCTGGCGTCAGCGCTGCTGGCTAACCCAGCAGCGGAGGCATTCGTGAATACCGACCGTGGGTTAGTCTATTTTATTGATGGGTAAGTTGAGCCAGTGGCGGAGGAGTTCGTGAATGCCGACCATGGGTTAGTCCACCCACTAGATAGACGAACCCACTTGGTAAGCCTACCCATGGGTAGGCTAACCCACTAAGTCTGTTGATGAATACGGCCACAGATTCCACAGCTCCTAGACGTGGGAATCACCTCAGCAGTCATCTATGCAGAACAGCTGATTCAACGCGGAAATCAGCCTGACTGTGCAATATACTTGGGTCCGAATCGAATAGAAATTCTATCATTCGAATAAAACATTCGAATATATTCGTATTCGAAATTCGATATTCGGAGTTCTTCCATCTTCGAATAATATTCGAAACTCGAAATTGAGAAAACGGGGTTTCGAATAAAATTCGAAACTCGAATAATCAAAAAACAGAGTTTCGAATAAAATTCGAAAACTCGAATAATCAAAAAACGAGGATTCGAATAAAATTCGAAAACTCGAATAATCAAAAAACGTGGTTTCGAATAGATTTTATTCGAATGTTTAATCGAGTTCGTATTCGAATGAACTCCGTATTCAGATTATTCGACTGTGTTACAGAGCCAACTGCTGAGTATCAAGCTCACCTCGTCCGCGTTATTTTTTCGCAAAACTCGGTAATGCATTTTTGCAACAGTTACGGCCTTTGAACTGTATGGAGGATTGCATTCTTCCGACTGCTTGACAGTAAAAAAATCATATGTGGATTTTAATCGATGCTTTTTCGATCAATTTGATTGTTGGCACTGCTGTTGGCACCAAATCAGCAAAGAAGCTATCAAATTCAAGCTCATGTTCCAAGTTCATATAGTGAAAGTGTTTTGAGATGTTAATGCCTGTTGCCTAATGCCTGTTCTTCTTTCTTTGCATTGCTCATGCTTGTGATAAGCAATGTCCACACTAGTGCGCACTCTTGCTTGCATTAACTGCACAACTGCCTCTATTCGCTACCTTAAAAATTTATTGCGAATTGGTGCATTTTGAGTAAAGGACATTGCAGCAGTGAAGGATTAGACTTAGATCGCCGTACGCGATTTGCCAGTTACGAGATGTCTTCAAATGTAACGCCAGCACAAATGTTTAGCGTGTACAACTCACCAAAAAGATAAATGCCCTGCATTCTGTACTTTTAAAATTAGTTTTGGACAATTTGACGATTGCCAAACCACCGCCACTGAAATGCCTGCAGTTTGCCCGGGGCTATAGGGGCATTCGTGCTCGCTTCGCGGAATAAACCAAATGCCTTCGTCCACGACTAGCTTATACCACACAAGGCGAAAGTCTCCGATAAACAGGCAATGTATCGTAGCATTTGAGGCGTTTAAAGACAGCGTACACCCAAAACAAATGCAACAGACGTTGCAACAGCAACTGCAACTGCAATTGCAGCTTACGCTGTCATGGATTCGTCCGGAGGAGGCGGAGCGAAAGAAAAGGGGCGGCATGAAAGAAAATTGAGGGGGGTTTTCTCCGCTCAGAAGCAACATTGGGAGACCGGACCAACGCAGTTGGTCTTCTTCTGGGCCCAGTATATACACGGTGTAGAAAGATCTAGGAAATTCGATAACTCAAATTTTGGGTGTACGCTGCCTTTAAGTACATATGTGGCCACCGTTAGTGCTTCAAAAGTTTGCACACCTAGCGCTATGAATCCGAACAGCTCGTTAGGTGAACACTTTATCGATTTTTGGAGAAGTTTGAGCTACGAGGTTGGGAGTTAGTACAGAGGGGTAAATGAGGATGCTAATTATGGATAAAAACTTACTTATCGATTTTATCGATTTTTGGAGAAGTTTGAGCTATGGGGCTGGGAGTTGGTGGGAGTTGGTACAGGAGGGTAAATGAGGATGCTGACTCAAACCGAAATCTATTCTATCGATTTCAGCGATTTTTGGAAAATTTTGAGCCACGAGTTGGTATAGGGGATGCGAGGGTGCTAATTATTAATGGATCGGCTTTGGCCAGATAGGTCGGCAATTTTGAGATATGGTTGCTCTAGTTATTCGATAAATCATTCGAATATTTATTCGAAATTCGACTTCCAATGTTCCAATGAATATATTCGATATTCATTCATTCGATATTTTTGATTTTCCGAATTTATTCGGAATTCATTCATACGAGAATTTTTGAACCTCGAATTTATTCGATATTCGTTTATTCGAAATTTTCTCTTTTCGAATTTATTCGATATTCATTCATTCGATGAAAAATTTTCGAATTGCCCAATTATACTGTGCAACGGCCGCAAACATACCGACCTTCGCGATCATGCACAGCCCTACGCTTGCTCTCCTTTCAATATATTGCCAAGAAACGGTCATTTCTTAAATCGAGACCAAAACTCACTCAAAGCTTTCTCTTGGAGAATTTTAGCAAAAAATGTCCTGCCGCATAAAGCCTTCTTCCTCCAAAACCAAGCTTCCCTTGCTTTTTCTGCTTTTAGGTGCAGAAGTACGACTTCTGCGAAGTGGAGCGGCCAAAAGTGGATTACAAGCAAGTTCTTGTGATTCAGCGCTGAAACCTAGAGGATCGTAGCTCAATGAGTCCTTTTTCCTTTGAAACTAGTTCCCTCTGCTTGTTGTTTTATTGACAAAAGTAGGATTTTCACAAAGTAGAAGCAGCCAAAACCGATTCTTCAGCAAGTTTCCGCATTTGACCACAAGGTTGACAAAAATGTGTTCCCATGTGGAGTCCTTGGGCCTTTCCTCCCAGCCCGAGCTCCCTCTGTTCATTTGCTTTTACAAGCAAACAATATTTTCACAATGTACACCCAAAAGTAACTCTTTAGCGGTTTCTGTGAAATCCAGCATTAAATCCTAGCAATTTAGCAAAATGCACTGCCGCATAAATCAAATATTCTTTTCTTCCAACATGACGTAGCTCCATCTTTTTTCGTTTCCAGAGGGAGCAATGTTTTCACAAAGTAAAGCACCCAAAACTGAGGTTTCAGCGATCCCGCAAAAGTTTAGATTATAATCCTTTACTAACCTTCATATTTCTTCTGAAATCATAAGGTTCTTTTCAAAAATTGATTGCAATTGTAAGAAGCATTGGGCAGGATAGGAAGCAAAATAGGGCGGCAGCTTTCCAGATTATGATAGCAACTGGGGCGCCAGAAATTTGCACTAATTTGGTAGTCTAGAATTCGCAACGCTGTTACTTGAGTTGGACACTACACGCAATTAATCACTTGTTGCTTGTCCTTTGTAACTGAGGAGAGAATCTTTGGCGATTGTTGCCGACATTGCCTAAATTTGCACTTTCCATGCAGAGCAAGCTCTATAACTGCATTTGAAGTGCATACAGTGTGGAAATTGACTACGAACACCGTCCACACTTAACGTCGATGTTATGCAACTTAAGGGTCCTTGTTGAGTGCATGCGTTCATTATTACTCTCTCGGCGAGGCGGGCCTCTCTGCCCATCCTTGTTAATTCATGTATCGCAGTGGCGAAATCTGGACTGCATTCGTTATCGAGAATCTCCTGTTAATATTGTAAGAGAACACTAGCATAACAGTAAAGCAAGTGGGAGGAGAGTATTCCCGCCGTATCGCGTCGAAAGATTCTAAAAGATATTACTAGAAGTAAGGTAGATGGTTATTTGGAA